GATCCAGCTTAATCCCAAAAACACAATCATGTGACCACAGGATTTTGCAATTGGTCATAACTCAAGCTGGTTGCCAAGAGCCTGAATTGCGACCACACGACAGCAGAAGTGGTGTGTGTGTGTGAGACAGTCATTAAGCGAGAATACAGGTCATAAGTTACTTTTTCCAAGATTGTTATTAACGCTGAACCATTGTTAAACGAACAGATGTTAAGTCGAGGGTTACATGTATACATGTAGGTCCTCTAGATCAGAGGTCCCCAATCTGTGGGCCGTGGCCCATTACCAGGCCACAGAACAGGCTGGCCAGTGTGTGCACACTCATCCACACTAGCGCTAGCACCGTCGCTACGCAAACGGGGCGCCGTACGGGGGAAACAGCAAAAACAGGGCATCACATGTGGAAAACGAGATGCTGCACAGGGAAAAAGAGAGCCGCGCAGGGGAAACGGGGCGAAAGCGGGGCGCCGTGTGGGAAAAATGGGGCAAAAACAGGGCACCACATGAGGAAAATGAGCTGCCGCACCGGGAAAAAGGCACTGCCCAGGGAAAACGGGGCAAAAATGGGGCACTGCGTGGGGGAAATGGGGCAAAAACAGGGTGCCACACGGGGAAAACAAGTTGCCGCACAGGGAAAAGAGAGCCGCGCAGAGGAAGCAGGGCGAAAGCGGGGCGCCATGTGGGGGAAATGTGTAAAACAGGGCGCTACACGGGGAAAACAAGGTGCCGCACAGAAAAAACAAGGTGCCGCACAGGGGAAACGGAGTGAAAATGAGGCGCTGTGTGGAGGAAACAGGGCAAAAACAGGGCATCACATGGGGAAAACGGCACCGCGCAGAGCAAATGGGGCAAAAGCGGAGCGCCGTGTGGGGAAAATGGGGCAAAAACAGGGCACATGAGGAAAACGAGGTGCCGCACAGGGAAAAAGGCGCCGTGCAGGGGAAACGGGGCAAAAATGGGGTGCCGCGTGGGGGAAATGGGACAAAAACAGGGCGCCACACAGGGAAAACAAGATGCCGCACAGGGAAAATGAGGTGCCGCGTGGGGAAAATGAGGCGAAAACAGGACGCTGCACGGGGGAAATGGGGCAAAAATAGGGTGCCACACGGGGGAAAACAAGGTGCCGCACAGGGAAAATGGCGCTGCACAGAGGAAATGGAGGGCTGCATGGGGGAAACGGGGCAAAAACGGGGTGCCGTGTGGCGAAAACAGGGCGGTGCTAGTGTCATGCAGACGCTAGCATCCCCCCGTTTGTGTTGCCCGTGCTCGCGGCCCCATTTCTGTGTGTGCGTGCATGTGCATGAGTGGTGTAAAATGCTTCCCCCCCTTTCCATCCGGTTCGCCAACTGAGAAAGGTTGGAGACCTCTGCTCTAAACTAGTGTTTCTCAACCCTGGCAACTTGAAGAAGAGTGGACTTCAACTCCCAGAATTCCCCAGCCAATATGGCTGACATGACTGGCTGAGGAATTCTGGAAGTTGAAGTCCACACTTCTTAAAGTTGCTAAGATTGAGAAATCTTGCTCTAAACTCACAAAGCTCACTCCCAGGTGGGTGAATTTCAACTATTTGCAATTAAAAAGAGCAAATTTGTTGAAACAAGGCCAGCTTTCTGGAAAAGAGAGGCCGGCCCCATCATGGTGGGGTCTCCTTATTTCTTGAAGGCCACACGGACTCTGCTATTGGAAGTCACTGTGGTACAACCTATGGACTCTTGTTTACCGTGACAGTCTAAACCAGGGGTAGGCAACCTTGGCTCTTTTGACTGGTGGACTTCAACTCCCAGAATTCCTGAGCCAGCCACGCTGAGGGGAAAGGGAGAGGTTTCCAAGCTGAGCCATGCTGGCTCAGGAATTCTGGGAGTTAAAGTCCACAAGTCATAAGGGGGCCACAGTTCCCTATCCTGGCTCAGGAATTCTGGGAGTTGAAGTCCACGAGTCATAAAAGAACCAAGGTTGCCTACCCCTGGTCTAAACGATTTTCTCATTCATTTAGCGGACCGTTGACCAACAGTTCCTCACCAAGAGGAAATGTAGCATTGTAAAATATTTGTGCAAAATCCTTAAAACGCAGGCAACCCACTACTGTATAAATATATGCAGCAATGATAGTTTGGCAGCTACCCTTCTAGTCGCTTGTACGGAGAAAGAGAAACAGATTCGTACAATCCATGAACCCTACAATCTAGGAAAAAAGATATTAAAAATTAAATAGAGGTTTTAAATGAACTCTTCAGAGCCCGATATGCTTATTGCACTTGGTTATCACATGGTCTAATTTCATTCTGGCTTGGCCCAGCTGTGTTCTATTTAGCCTGTGCAATACAGGTAGTCCCTGATCCATGATCCCAACTTGAGCCCAAATTTTCCCTTGCTAAGCAAGGTAGTCATTAAGTGGGTTTCGCCCCATTTTACGACCTTTCTCACCACAGTTCTTTAAGCGAACTTTTGCAATTGTTAAGTTAGTAAGACAGTCATTGACTTGGCTTGTCGGAAGGTCGCAAAAGGGATCACGTGACTCCGGGACCCTGCAACTGTCTTCAGTACATGCCAGTTGCCAAACATCTGAATTTTGATCATGTGACCACAGGAATGCTAAAATTGTCGTAAGCGGGAAAAAGTTTTTTTTTTACCAGCATTGGTAAAAGTCCTAAGTCATCAGGGGTCCTTGCTGCTCTCTGAGCTGGGTGGTTTTCTTGCAGACGTTTCCTTACTCAAACTAGGTAACATCATCAATGCTACTACGTTAGTACTACAGTACTATCACTGATGGTGTTACTTAGTTGGGTCATGAAACGTCTGCAAGAAAACAACCAAGCTCAGAGAGCACCAAGGACCACACAGTTTTTCTTCCTCCTCCTCCTCCTCCCCTTCCTTCCTTCCTTCCTTCCTTCCTTCCTTCCTTCTTGCACTGATGATGTTACCTAGTTTGGGTCATGAAATGTCTGCAAAGAAACAATTAAGCTCAGAGGGCATCATTTCAACCCCGGGCCGCAAATATTCTCCTTCATTGGTCATAAAACACTTTTTTCAGTGCGGCTGTAAACTTGTAAACCATAGTTGAGTTTGGTGTATTTTGGGGTCTTAGGAGAATAGTGGTCAGTGACTGGATATGGACAAGGTAAGAATGGAAGCGGCAAAGAGTGTTTATCCACAACAGCATCACACTTATACCCTGTCAACCTCCCACCCGTGAGGAGTGCTACTCAAAGCAGGTCCGCACAATCAAATCAGTATTTTAACCTGCCTCAGTTTCCATTTCTAATGCAGTGGGGAGGGAGAAGATTTTGAAGAAGATTAAGAATAGATGGAGGGAGAGAGGGAGGGTAAGAGAGAGGGGGAGGGGAGGAGAGAGGGGGAAAAAGAAAGAGAGTAATGGAGAAAGAGAGAGGGAGAGGGAAGGAGAGAGAGAGGAGGGAAGGGAGAGAGGGAGGAGAGAAGGAAGGAGAGAGAGAGGAGAGAGGGAGGGAAGAGAGAGGGAAAGAGAGAGACAAGAGAGAGGGAAGGAGAGAGAGAGAGAGAGGGAAGGGAGAAGGAAAGAGAGATGGAAAGAGAGAGGGAAGGGAGAGACACAGTGAGAGGGAAGGAGAGAGGAGAGAGGGAGGGACTAGAGAGAGAGGGAAAGAGACGGAAGGAGAGAGAGGGAGAGAGAGAGAGAAGGGAGAAGGAAGGAGAGAGAGAGAGAGGGAGGGAAGAGAGAGGGAAAAAGAGACACAGTGAGAGAGGGAAGAAGAGAGAGAGGGAAAGAGACGGAAGGAGAGAGAGGGAGAGAGGGAAGGAAAGAGAGAGAGAGGGAGGGAAGAGAAAGGGAAAGAGTGAGAGAAGGAGGGAAGAGAAAGGGAAAGAGTGAGAGAGGGAAGGAGAGAGAGGGAGAGAGGGGGGGAAGGGAGAAGGAAGGAGAGAGGAGAGAGGGGGGGACTAGAGAGAGAGGGAAAGAGAGACACAGTGAGAGAGGGAAGGAGAGAGAGAGGGAAAGAGAAGGAAGGAGAGAGAGAGAGAGAGAGGAGGGGAAAAGAAAGGGAAAGAGAGAGGGAAGGGAGAGACACAGCGAGAGAGGGAAAGAGAGAGAGAGAAGAGGGAAGGAGAGAGGGAGGGAATAGAGAGGGAAAGACAGAGAGAGAGAGAAGGAAGGAGAGAGAGAGGAGGGGAAGAGAGAGGGAAAGAGAGAGGGAAGGGAGAGACACAGTGAGAGAGGGAAGGAGAGAGAGAGGGAAAAGGGAAGGAGAGAGAGAGGGGGGGAAAGAGACAGAAGGAGAGAGAGGGGAGGGAGGGGAGAGGGAAAGAGAGAGAGAGAGAGGAGAGAGGGAGGGAAGAGAAAGGGAAGAGAGAGGGAAGGGAGAGAGTGAGAGAGGGAAGGAAAGAGACGGAAGGAGAGAGAGAGAGGGAAGGAGGGAGAGAGTAAGAGGGAAGAGAGAAAGAGAGGGGAGGAGAAAGAGAGAGGACCAAAACTGCTTCTCCAAGCCCCTCTGCTCAGCACCCCCCCCCGATCCTATCCTTTGCGCCCGGGCATTCGTAGGATCGCAAGGCAAGAAAGCCCAGACCGCAACACCTCCCCCCCCCACCCCCGCTGTCTCCACCCCCACCTTTACCCACCGTGCGTGGCCAAGTGGGCCAAAGAGGGGTTGGTGGAGGGGGGGGGTGGAAAGAGCCAGGCAAGCTTTTTTGGAGGGGGGGGAGAAAGGGAGGAGGGGGGGCGCCCGATGCAAGGAGCCAACTTTGACGGGGGTGGGGCGGGGGGGCGCCTTTTGTGGGGGCGAAGCCCCTCAAGGGGGGGGAGGAGGGAGGGAGGGAGAGAGGGGGGGTCTGTCTGCTCTTTGCAAGGACAAAGCCCCCCCCCTGCCACCCCACCCCCGGGTGCATCGCGGCCAAGGAGGCGCGGCCCCTTCCGGGGGCTCGGGGGGGGGTCTTTCCAACGGGGGGGAGGCCTGGGGGGGTCGGGGCGCCAGGAAGGACCCCTCCCCGCGGCTGGGGGGGGGGGTCCGTCCCGGGCCTGGCTGGCTCACCAGGATCCGCTTGAAGAGGTTGCTCTCCTTGGGCGGCAGCGGCGCCGACGGCATGGCGAGCCCAGGCGGCCTCCGCCTCCGCCTCTTCTCCGGCCCAGGAGCGCCGTCCGGGGCTTCGCCCGCTGGGCCCCGCCAGCCCGGCTCGGCTCAGCTCGGCTCGGCTCGGCGCTCGTGCACCGCGACGCCCCCGCGCGCTCCCGGAGGCCCCGCGCGCGCTCCCGATCTGCAAGGCTCCGAGGAGGTGGGGGTGGGGGCTGGGGGAGAGGCCGGCGCAGAGTTGCACGCAACGCTCCGGTAACGGAGCGGGAAGGGACCTTGGAGGTCTTCTAGTCCAGCCCCCTGCTCGAGCAGGAGAGCCTCTCGGCCGTTCCAGACGAGGGGGTTTATCGGCTCTCTTCTTCAAAACTTCCCGTGTTGGAGCGCCCTAAAGCTTCTCAATTAATCCCGCCCTTTAACAGGAGAACAGCGGGAAGGGACCTTGGAGGTCTTCTAGTCCAGCCCCCTGCTCGAGCAGGACACCCTATATGCCATTCCAGATGAGGGGCTGTCCATTGGCCACTTAAAAACCTCCAGTGATGGAGCACCCACAGCTTCTGGAGGCGAGCTCTGCAGAAGAACAGAGTTGAAAGGGGTCTTGGAGGTCTTCTAGTCCAGCCCAGAGCACCTGAAGGCAGGACAAGAAGCAACGGAGGGAAACTAATCAAGGAGAGAAGCAACCAAGAACTAAGGAGAAACTTCCTGACACTGAGGACAGTTGATCAGTGGAACAGTTTGCCACCAGAAGTTGGGAATGGTCCAACATTGGAAGTTTTTAAGAGATTGGACAAACGTTTGTCCGAAATGGTATAAGGTTTCCTGCCTGAGCAGGGGGTTGGACTAGATGACCTCCATGGTCCTTTCCAACTCTGTTGTTCTCTTAAGTGTGAATTACACACTTCTTTCCAATGGCCTGGAACATCTCTAGTGCTCTCTGAGCAGGGGGTTGGACTAGAAAACCTCCAAGATCCCTAGAATAGGGAATAGAATAGAATAGAAAATATGGAATAGAATGGAATGGAATGGAAGAGAAGAGAAGAGAAAATGTAGAACAGAATAGAATAGAAATAGAATAGAATAGAATAGAAAATATAGAGCAGAATAGAACAGAATAGAACAGAACAGAATAGAATAGAATAGAATAGAATAGAATGGAACAGTGGTTCTCAACCTTTTTAATGCCGCGACCCCCAACCGGTCGTAAGTCGATGACTACTCAACCAGTCGTAAGTCGAGGACTACTCGACTGGTGCAGCACCGTTTGCAGAATGGGACTTTTGGCGGGCTCAGCAGGGCAGAGACAGCCTGGACAATTCCTATTGGCTTTTGAAAGCCAATAGAATTAGGCTCTAGTCAAGAGAGTCTATTCTATTGGCTTTCAAAAGCCAATAGAATAAAAGGGAGTAGCACAGCTAAGGAAAAGGGGGGAAAATGGCGGACTGCGTTGTTTGGTGACCCCCGTGAAATGGTCGTTCGACCCCAAATGGGTTCCCGACCCACAGGTGGAGAACCACTGGAATAGAATAAGGAATAGAATAGAATAGAATAAGGAATGGAATGGAATAGGATAGGATAGGATAGGATAGGATAGGAGAGAGCTGTAAGGGACCTTGGAGGTCTTCTAGTCCAGCCCCCTGCTCAAGCAGGAGAACCTATACCATTTATATTAACTGACACAACCTTGCATAAATTATCTCCTAATTTTAATGTACATGTGATATACATGCACCTCTAGGTCTTCAAGCAGGAGAACTTCTAGAGTTTATATAGAAGAACTGAAAGATGGGGCTATTAGCCTACAATGCTGGTAAAATGATGTCCATTTAGAGACAAAGAAGGGACTGAAAGCGCTGGTGAGAAAAGGATGTCCCTTCTACAAAATATCCAAGTCAGACTGTCCTGTTCTGTTTTATTTATCTTTTGTCTGATCAGCACGGCAAAAATCTTTGCAACCAGCAGATCAGAAGGGATCTGAAGATCTTACGTTGCTATTTTATTTTATTTTATTTTTTTGACATTTCTATTGAGGCTTGCTTTTTCAGAGATGTGTTCGGTGACAGGAATAAGCATCAACTTTTCTATCTCTATTTTATTCTCTATTTCTATTCTATTCTATTCTCTATTTCTATTCTTTTCTTTATTTCTATTCTATTCTCTATTTCTATTCTCTATTTCTATTCTTTTTTCTATTTTCTATTTCTATTCTTTATTCTCTATTTTATTCTCTATTTTATTCTCTATTCTATTCTATTCTTTATTCTATTCACTAGTCTATTCTATTCACTATTCTATTCTATTCTATTGTACTCTATTCACTATTCTATTCTATTCTACTCTATTCACTATTCTATTCTATTCTATTCACTATTCTATTCTATTCACTATTCTATTCTACTCTATTCACTATTCTATTCTACTCAATTCATTATTCTATTCTATTCTATTCACTATTCTATTCTATTCTATTCACTATTCTATTCTATTCACTATTCTATTCTACTCTATTCACTATTCTATTCTACTCTATTCACTATTCTATTGTACTCTATTCACTATTCTATTCTATTCTACTCAATTCATTATTCTATTCTATTCTATTCTATTCACTATTCTATTCTATTCTATTCTGATCATCATTATAACATTCTAAAAAGAAATACAAAACACACCAGTGTTTTCAAAACTTGGCAACTTTCAGACAGGTGGACTTCATCTCTCAGAATTCTCCAGTACTGAATGCTGTTGAAGTCCAGCCGTCTTAAAGCTGCCACTTTTTTTTTTTTAAAGCCCATATTTACCACCACTCCAAAACAAGTCCTTTGGGAGGGGGGAAAAAAATTGAGAAAACTGGAAAAGACAGGGAGCGAGATTTAAAGGAGGAGGAAAAAGCCAAATTGCAAAATGCTGGGCCACAAAAGAAAGTAACGTGGGAAAATTCTCTCCACGTTCTTAAATCCCACTTGTTTTTGCAAGCCTTACGGGGGTTTTATACGGTTGCGGCACGGTAGAGGTTAACTCGAGCATCTCCCGCTAAGCATTGTGGGAGTGGTAGTTCAAAACCCAGAGGGCTGCTGGGAAATGTGGTTTTTCTCCCACTTCCTTGCTCGGTCTTCTGCCGCTTCCTTATTCAAGCCGGCCTCAGCTCCCGTTGGAGCCCTTCAAGGTGAGAGATGGACATTTTTATATTTATTTTTTTTGCAAAAATGAAAGTTGCAATACAGGGCCTGTTTGTCTGGATTTGCATTTGGCTTGCAAACGGACTGGGAGAAAAGGAGCGTTTGTTTTCTGCAGCTTTTGAACCAGAACGCTGGTGGATCTAGCAAGCCAGGAAGAAAAGTCATATCTTTCCTGGGAATAAATTTAGGAAGAAATAGCTTCGCTTTGCAATCAGCTTTTTAAAGGTGGCTCTGAAAGTTTCCTGCTTGGCAGACGCAGGTCTCGTTTTTCTGCAGCTTTCTTCACTTTGTTTGGTTTGAGCCTTGCTCGGCTGGAGCAGTTGTCAGAAGCAGTTGTCAGTCTGAGTGCTGGCAGCTATTTTAGGCTATTTGAAAATAATCTGGGGAAGGAAAAGAGGGGTTCATTTCTTAATGGCATGCCTAAGATTGAGTTACGCTGCTCATTTTTGCTCGTTTAATTCACATGTTGCAAAATCGCACTGTGTAACTTCTAATGATGCACTGATGGTGTTAGCTAGGGTGGTAATGAAACGTCTTGCAAGAAAATCACCAAGCACCTCAGATGTAACTTCTGGTGCTTTATTTGTAATTTAAAAGTTACCTAAGAGAAAATGAGGGTATTGATTTGTTTTTTGTATTGCAAAGCCTCTTGCAACTGTGTTTCAGATGTTCAAGTAGCACAGGTTTTCCTAGCCTGGCTTCCACTGGCTTCAGATTTCATGATATTAGTCTCATTTACTATCCCAAGAATTCATTGAAGGCTAGAGAGCAAGAGACCATGAGTTCTAGTCCTGCCTGAGGCAGGAAAGTTGACTGGGTGACCTTGGGCCAATCACCAGCAGACTATGAGTTCTAGTCCCACCTTAGGAAAGTTCATTGGGTGACCTTTGACCAATCACCAGGAGACTGGGAATTCTAGTCCCACCTTAGCCATGAAAGTCAGTTGGGTGACTTTGGACCAGTTATTCATTCTCAGCCCTTGCCACCTCACAGGGTTGCTGTTTTGGGGAATATAAGAGGAGGGAAGTGTGTTGGATATGTTTGACACCTTGGGTTGTTTATAAAAATAGTAAGATGGGAGATAGATAGATAGATAGATAGATAGATAGATAGATAGATAGATAGATAGATAGATAGACGGATGAGAGATGAGAGAGAGGAGAAAGAAGAGAGAGGCATGAAAGAAAGATGATAGATAGATAGATAGATAGATAGATAGATAGAGACAGATAGATAAGATAGATAGAAAAGATATATAGATAAGATATAGATAGATATAGATTAGATAGATAAAATTGGAAATAGATAGATAGATAAGATATAGATAGATAAGATATAAGATAGATGGATAAGATATAGATAAATAAGATATAAGATAGATGGATAAGATATAGATAGATAAGATATAGATAAGATATAGATAGATAGATAGATAGATAAGATATAGATATAGATTAGATAGATAAAATTGGAAATAGATAGATAAGATATAGATAGATAAGATATAGATAGATGGATAAGATATAGATAGATAAGATATAGATAGATATAGATAGATAGATAGATAAGATATAGATATAGATAAAATTGGAAATAGATAAGATAGATAAGATATAGATAGATAAAATATAAAATAGATAAGATATAGATAGATAAGATATAGATAGATAAGATATAGATAGATAGATAGATAGATATAGATTAGATAGATAGATAGATAAAGTTGGAAATAGACGAATGACAGATAAATAGATGATTGATGATGGATGGATAGATAGATGGTAGATAGCTGGATAGACAGATGATTGACAGGTAGGTAGGCAGACAGACAGATTAGGTAGGTAGGTAGGCAGACAGACAGACAGTTAGATAAACAGACAGACAGACAGACAGCCCCTTTTGAAAGAAAGACCAAATAATAATAATAATAATAATAATAATAATAATAATAATGCTATGGTTTCATTTGTGTATTCCAGAGGGCTCAACCTGAGGATGAAGCCTCACCCAGCAAGTCCTGTTTTCAGATTCCTATTTCACAAATGCCACAAGTCCCCCCGGAGAGACCCTCTCCCATCCCTTGCTAAAAGAAGGGCTCTTTGGATGGAGCTGAAAATCCTTTGGCAGGGCTGCGCATGGTGGGAGATCGTCGCACCTGCGAGGACCTTCCATGCCAGCCCCAGGGCTTTGGGGATGCTTTGGGACCCCGGCCCCTTGCAGGAATATTTACAGACGTTGAAGCGGGAATACGAACGGATCGATACGCTGCTGAGCACCTGCGCCGTGAACGAATTTCGGAGGAGGGACCTCACTGAACGGCGGGCTGAGTTGTCCCCCTTTGTGGCGACATTTCAAGAAATTCGAGAGGCTGAAAAACAAATTCAGGAACTGGAAAAAATGTGTACAGGTTCGTTCTGCAGGTAGTCCTCAGCTTACGACCGCAGTCGAATCCCAAACCTCTGTCGTTAAGCGAGACATTTGTTAAGCGAGCTTTGCCCCGTTTTTACGACGGCGCTTATTAAATTAAGCAGCACGGTTGTGGGATCCGGCTTCCCCTGTTAACTTTGCCTGTCAGAAGGTCGCAAAAGGGGATCCACGTGATCCCCGGGGACGCTGCAACCGTCGTAAGTACAAGCCAGTTGCCAAGCCTCTGAATGTTGATCACGTGACCACGGGGAGGCTTCAAAGGTCGTAACTGCAAAACTGTCGTAAGTCACTCTTTCAGTGCCGTTGTAACTTTGAATGGTCACTAAATGAATTGTTGTAAGTTGAGGACAGCCTGCATAGAACTTTCTCTCTTTTTTTGGCATTCATTTTGGGGAAGCCCCACAATTTCTTTGCTTCCACTACATCTAAGGGAACCGTCCCCCCTCTCTTGAGTTTCAGACGTGTAGTATAACTTACTCCTCTCTTTTCTGTTTCCTTTGTTTGGCCCTTTGATTACAGAGCTAACTAAATCAGAGGAGAAATCTCTGCTAGAACTTGCTATGGAGGAGAAGGAAAGCACGAACCAGAAGATTAAAGGACTCTATCTAGAGGTGAGCAGAAGCCAGCTGAGTCCAGCTACTGTGGTCTGCAATGTCAGGAGTGTCGTGTAGCTGAAACTGCTCAAGGGAACACATCCACTTTCCCAAAAAGAAAAAAAAACAGATAACAGAATATTCTATGGATGGAATGGAATAATAATAATAATAATAATAATAATAATAGTAATAAAAAAAAGTTGGAAGGGACCTTGGAGGTCGTCTAGTCCAACCCCTGCTCAGGCAGGAAACCCTATACTATTTCGGACAAATGGCTGTCCAGTCTCTTCTTAAAAACTTCCAATGTTGGAGCATTCACCGCTTCTGGAGGCAGGTAGTTCCACTGGTTAATTGTTCTATCTGTCAGGAAGTTTCTCCTTAGTTCTAGGTTGCTTCTCTCTTTGGTTAGTTTCCATCCGTTGCTTCTTGTCCTGTCTTCAGGCACTTTGGAGAATAGCTTGACTCCCTCTTCTTTGGGGCAGCCCCTGAGATATTGGAACACTGAATAGAATAGAATAGAATAGAATAGAATAGAATAGAATAGAATAGAATAGAATAGAATAGAATAGAATAGAATAGAGAAATTAGAATAGAATAGAATAAAGAAATTAGAATAGAAATAGAATAGAATAAATAGAATAGAAAATGAATAGAGTAGAATGCAGTAGAATAGAATAGAAACAGACTGCAGAATGCAGAATGGAATGGAATGTAGAATAGAATAGAATAGAGAAGTTAGAATAGAAATAGAATAAATAGAATAGAAAATGAATAGAGTAGAATGCAGAATAGAATAGAATAGAAACAAAATGCAGAATGAATGGAGTAAAATGTAGAATAGAATAGAATAGAATAGAATAGAATAGAACAGAACAGAACAGAACAGAACAGAATAGAATAGAATAGAATGCAGAGTGGAGTGGAGTGGAGTGGAGTATATAGAGTAGAGTAGAGTAGAGTAGAGTAATGTTGGAAGGGACCTTGGAGGTCATCTAGTCCAACCCCTGCTCAGGCAGGAAACCCTGCATCATTTCAGACAAATGCTTGTTCAATCTCTTCTTTAAAACCCCCAGTGATGGAGCACGCACAATGACCGTTTTTCAGACTTAACAACCTTTGCAGCATCCCCATTTGGTCATGCGATCAAACTCCAGAGGCTTGGCAACTGGTTGGTACTTATGACCGTTGCCATGTCCCAAGGTCACGTGATCCCCTTCTGCCACCTTCTGACAAGCCAAGTCAGTGGGGGAAGCTGGATTCACTTAACAACCGTGTTACCCACTTATCAACGGCCGCGATTCACTTAACAGGAAGGTCGTAAAATGGGGCAAATGCAACCAATATCTCATTTTAACCACAGAAATTTTGGGCTGGATTGCGGTCGTAAGCCGAGGACCCCCTGTAACTATGAAGGGACCTCTTAAGATCCGAAATGGAAGTTACAAACACCGTTGGCATGGAGTTGTAAGCTTATTTGTCGACCGATTTTTGTTTTTCTGTCCTCAGCTCTGCGAGAAGATGACGCCGAGGGACAAATATGACAAAAACGATGTCCTTTTAGAAGTCACAGCGGGCAGGACGACGGGAGGTGAGCAAAGAGAAGCAACCTAGAACTAAGGAGACACTTCCTGACGGTGAGAACAGTCAACCAGTGGAACAACCTGCCACCAGAAGCGGTGAATGCTCCAACACTGGAAGTTTTTTAGGAAGAGACTGGACAGCCATTTGTCTGAAATGGTATAGGGTTTCCTGCCTGAGCAGGGGGTTGGACTAGATGACCTCTAAGGTCCCTTCCAACTTTATTACTACTACTACTACTACTACTACTACTACTACTACTACTACTACTATTATTATTATGACATCACAAGTACAAAGTGATTCCAAACAAAGTTCCTGGGTTTGCAGAACTGATTTATTCTGTGGCCTTCCTCATCTATTAGTTTTGGGTTTTAGTACACAGGTAGTCCTCGCCTTATGACCACAGTGGAGCCCAAAATTTCTGTCGCTAAGTGATGCAACAGGTGTTCAGTGAGTTTTGGCCGATTTCGCCACCTTGCTTGTTAAGCGAATCAGTTGCAGTGGTTTAAGTTAATAACACCGTTGTGGAATGAATCTGGCCTCCGCGTTGACTTGGATTATCAGATGGTCGTAAAAAGGGGATCACGTGACAGAAACACACACCCTGGACACTGCGACCGTCACAAATATGAGTCCGTTGCCAAGCGTCTGAATTTTGATCCCGTGACCCTGGGGTGAAAAAGGGTGAAAAACAGTTGTAAGTCCCTTTTTTTCAGTGCCCTTGTAACTTTGGTCACTAAATGAACGGTTGAAAGTCGAGGATTACCAATGGATCAATATTAATCAAAGCTCTAATCCAGGGGTAGGCAGCCTTGGCTCTTTTATGACTGGTGGACTTCAACTCCCAGAATTCCTGAGCCAGCCATGCTGAGAGGAAAGGGAGAGGTTTCCAAGCTGAACCATGCTGGCTGAGGAATTCTGGGAGTTGAAGTCCACGAGTCATGAGGGGGCCATAGTTCCCCCATGCTGGCTGAGGAATTCTGGGAGTTGAAGTCCACCAGTCATCAAAGAGCCAAGTCAAGGGAGACAAAAAACAAGTTGTTTCCCTTATGCCTGAATTTTGTACATGTGAAAACATTTTGCATATGTAACGTAATGTGCAAAGAACGTTGTCTGTTGTTTGTCATAAAGGATTGTGGCGAGGCTGCAACGGTCGCTAAGTGAAAAATGGTCTCGGTGCTTTTTTTTTTCAGTGCCGTTTGTAACTCCGAACGGTCACTAAACGGATTGTTGTAAGTCAAGGACCACCTGTATTGTAGGCACCGTATTCAAAATATTTGCTCCGAGCTGATATTTCAGAGGATTTTACCTTCCAGGTGATATTTGCCAGCAATTTACGAGAGAAGTTTTCGACATGTACCAGAATTACGCCGGATACAAAGGCTGGACTTTTGAAATCACCAAGTACTGCCGAGCTGATTATGGTAGGAGAAGCACCTCTGACAGCCTCCCCCCAAAAAATATCTCCACGGGTCGCCTCCTCTTCCCCCCCCCCATTGAAAGATATGTTGCTTTTTTAAGGGGGTCTCCACCATGCAGCCGCCCGCATTTTGGGAAACCAGGTCTACAGACAGTTGAAGTTTGAAGGAGGGACCCACCGGGTGCAACGCATCCCCCAGACCGGCTTGTCGTCCAGAATGCAGCGGATCCACACCGGCACCATGACGGTCATTGTCCTCCCTCTGTCCGAGGAGGTAGGTGTGTGTTCACGGCTTTTAGTCCTCTCTCTTCTCTTCTCTTCTCTTCTCTTCTCTTCTCTTCTCTTCTCTTCTCTTCTCTCTCTCTCTCTGTCTCTCTCTCTCTCTGTCTCTCTCCTTCTGTTGAAGGCCTCATCTAAGCTAGCATCAGATCAATTCTTTCCATAGGTATGACTCCATCTTGCAAGAGGCTGCAGACATATCCATGTTTTAGAAGGATGAATTTCATTTATATCTGTTGCTGGATCTCCTTTTTCCCTCCCTCTTTTCCTTTATCCTTCCTCTCTCTTTTCCTTCCTTTCCTCCTTTTCTGTATCCATCTTATTGTCTTGTCTTGTTCCTTCCTTCCTTCCCTCCTTCCATATCCCTTCCTTTTCTTCCTTCCTTCCCTACTCCTTCTTCCTTCCTTCCTTCCTTTCCCTTCCTCCATATCCCCCTTCCTTCTTTTCTTCTTTCCTTTCCTTTCTTCCTTTGTCCCTCCTGCCTTCCTTCCTCCTCCCCTTCTTCCTTCCTTTCCCTTCCCTCCCTCCATATCCCCCTTCCTTCTTTTCTTTCCTTTCCTTTCTTCCTTTGTCCCTCCTTCCTTCCTCCTCCCCTTCTTCCTTCCTTTCTTCCTTTCCCTTCCCTCCCTCCATATCCCCCTTCCTTCTTTTCTTTCCTTTCTTCCTTTGTCCCTTCTTCCTTCCTTCCTCCTCCTTCTTCCTTCCTTCCTTCCTTTCCCTTCCCTCCCTCCCTCCATATCCCCCTTCCTTCTTTTCTTCTTTCCTTTCCTTTCTTCCTTCGTCCCTCCTGCCTTCCTTCCTGCTCCCCTTCTTCCTTCCTTTCCCTTCCCTTCCTTCATATCCCCCTTCCTTCTTTTCTTCTTTCCTTTCCTTTCTTCCTTTGTCCCTCCCTCCTGCCTTCCTTCCTCCTCCCCTTCTTCCTTCCTTTCTTCCTTTCCCTTCCCTCCCTCCATATCCCCCTTCCTTTTCTTCTTTCCATTCCTTTCTTCCTTTGTCCTTCCTGCCTTCCTTCCTGCTCCCCTTCTTCCTTCCTTCCTTCCTTCCCTTCTTCCCTCCCTCCCTCCATATCCCCTTTTCTTCTTTCCTTCCTTCGTCCCTCCCTTCTCTCTTCGTCCATCCCTCCTTCCCTCCATATCTTCCTTCCTTCCTTCCTCTCTCCCTCCCTCCCTCCCTAACATTCATCCATCCCTCCTCCTCCCCATAAAATTACACATCAGATTTCTCTTTCTCAAGGTACAGATAAAAATCAGCCCCAGCGATTTACGGATTGATACATTTCGAGCCAAAGGTGCCGGAGGACAGCACGTTAATAAAACAGACAGCGCTGTTCGAGTTGTGCACATCCCTACAGGTAAGATGTTGCTGGGTGTAGACATGTATAAATATTAGTCCAGTATTAATGTCCTAGCTTCTAATATTCTAATAGGCTTCCCCCCCCCCTTAGACCTCAAGGTTAGCTGTACGCCTTTACTTTATTATTTATCGCCTACACAAAATTGTGCCTTATATGTGTTTCCCCAAGTTATCTTAAGACCAACATGTTTGCGATGCTTCATGGTACAAAAAATACATTCTATGTGAGAAAAATGAATTTTTTTTCCGGTGAAACCGGTCTAGTAGAACACCTGGTCTACTGCTATGATTACTTTTGCCTTTCAGCCCCAATCTAGGAGCTACTGCGATAAACTATTTCTGTGTTAAATTTTAAATCTTTTGCTGACAAAGAATTAAAGGGAGACTAGTATAGCTATTTCAAGCTATTTAGCTCTCATCAGCTAGCCATACCCTTCTGAGATTCGAACCCGGGCCGCTTGCATGTTAGGCAGCTTAGAGGTTAATACAGCTGCCTAACATGCAAGCAGCCCAGGTTCGAATCTCAGAAGGGTATGGCTAGCTGATGAGAGCTAAATAGCTCGAAATAGCTATGCTAGTCTCCCTTCAATTCTTTGTCAGCAAAAGATCTAAAATTTAAAACAGCTATACAGAGGACTTTTGGGTATTAATTAAAGGGCAGAGATGGTCTTGTTAAGTCTCAGAGGTCTGCAAAAATTACTTTGTGGATGTCGGTCGGATCCTTTCTCGTCTTTTGAAGGGATCGTGGTGGAATGTCAGCAGGCCCGGTCTCAGCTAATGAATAAAGAAACAGCCCTGCAGACTCTGAGAGAAAAGCTCTACTTTCAGACTGTGATGAAGGAAATAAACGAACAACAAAGTACGAGAAAGCTGCAGGTAAGATCCTATTTTTTCCCCCCTCTGAATCAGTTGTAATCAGTTTTCTTTGAAGACATTTCGCTTCTCATCCCAGAAGCTTCTTCAGCTCTGACTGGATGGTGGAGTACGGAAGGATTTATACTCCTTGCAGACAGCTGGTCATTTGCATTTGTTTAGAGAGTCGTTGTGGCCACTTGGTGGTTCGTCTGTGTTTTCAGGGTAGTGCAAATGGGTGTGGAGCCTTCTTGGGATTGCTGAAATCCATCGGCAGCAATCGTGACCCCACTTGGTAACGTTATCAGTGTTACAAGGGAGTGGGGTTTGCAGAGAGGAGGAGGAGGAGAACTGTGGGCTCCTTGGCGCATTCTCGGCTTCCATGTGGTTTTCTTGCAGACATTTCACGACCCAACTAGGTAACATTCTCAGTGCTGAAAGGGGGTGAGGCTTGCAAAGTGGAAGAGGAGGAGGAATGTGATGTTCGTGGTGCTCTCCGAGCTTGCTAGTTCTCTTGCAGACGTCTCACTACCAAACTAGGTAACATCATCAGGGTACCTCATCAAAGAAAGACTCATTTGACGTTGTAGAAGTGGGAGATAGAGACACGGGACAGCCTTCCTGCAGTGAATACAGGCTTCGTAGGCCCTAGTTAGCCTTGTGAGGTAGTTGAAAAACAAGATGCACACTCAAATAGTGTACTGTGCATTCCTCGTCCTGCCTTGTCCAGGTCACAACAGCAAAAGCCCAGCTGGTTTGTGTGTTCTTCTTCCTAGTCATCAGCCAGATGAAAAACCATTTGGACTCCTTGCAACCCAACTGAAAAACCCATGCAGAAGTGTAAGGTGATTACAAGAAACTAAAAATTGCCAAGTGTGTGTTGTTGTTGTTGTTGTTGTTAGTTGCAAAGTCGTGTCCGACCCATCGCAACCCCATGGACAACATTCCTCCAGGCCTTCCTGTCCTCTACCATCTTCTGAAGGCCATTTAAGCTCACGCCTATTGCTTCAGTGACTCCATCCAGCCACCTCCTTCTCTGTCGTCCCCTTCTTCTCTTGCCCTCCATCTTTCCCAGCATTAGGCCCTTCTCCAGGGAGTCCTTCCTTCTCATTAGGTGGCCAAAGTCCTTGAGTTTCAACTTCAGGATCTGGCCTTCTCAAGAGCAGTTAGGGTTGATCTCTTCTAGGACTGACCAGTTTGAACGCCTTGCAGTCCAGGGGACTCGCAGGAGTCTTCTCCAGCACCACAGGTCAAAGGCCTCCATTCTTTGGCGCTCAGCCTTTCTTATGGTCCAACTTTCACAGCCACACATTGCAACTGGGAAAACCATGGCCTTGACTATACATACTTTTGTTGGCAGGGTGATGTCTCTGCTTTTGAGTATGCTGTCTAGATTTGCCATAGCTTTCCTCCCCAGGAGCAAGCGTCTTTTAATTTCTTGGCTGCAGTCCCCATCTATGGTGATCTTGGAGCCCAGGAAGATAGTGTGTGTTGTAACACACTATAAAAGAATCTTCTGATAATTCTGTGGTCAAGCTTCAAAGAAACCTCAGGATGCTTTGGCCATTTTTCATGGCTCGCCTACAGATCCAGGGGGGCAGGGCGGATGAATGGAGCGTGCGCACTTGAGGATGTCAGCTGCGAAGTCTGGGAATCAAGGTCCTTCATTTGGTTTACGAAAAAATGGAAGATTTCTCTCATAACAATTGTCTGATCCTTAATTGAGGAATGGGACTTGCGCCGTCGGGGGGAATTTCTATGCTTTTAATTTGCTGTTCTGGCACCAATTGAATCAGAGTTGCTTTTCCTTTCATCTGTGCCGATACGCTGTGCTCAATAAAGTTTTGCATGAGGGATTGGAATGTCTCCGCCGGGCTTCCTTCGTTGGGATCATCCGTCGGGACCTTGACATCTGCGTTAACCATGGTCTCGCTTAGCGAAAGAAATGTTGGCTCAGTTGTAAGTTGAGGGCCACCTGCTTCCTTCTTTCACAGTTAGGGACAAGATCCCAGTCAGAGAGAATTCGCACGTATAACTTCAATCAAGATCGGGTCACTGACCATCGGATTTCCTACGACGTCCGTGATATCAAGGTATTTATATTTTATTTCAGCAACCAGTAGCAGCTGTAGTTTACCCAAGGGGCAGTGATGATGTATGAAAGGGCTAAACCTGAATATATTGCTCCTTTTTCAGCTTTTGTGGGCTGCTTTTAATTCAAAAGCTAACTGAGAACAATTGCACGGGCAAACATTTGCATGAGCCACCAATAAAATAACAGATTTGGAAGGGACCTTGGTGGTCTTCTAGTCCAACCCCCTGCTCAGGCAGGAAACCCTATCCGGGGTAGGGAACCTTGGCTCTTTTATGGATTCTTTGTGGACTTCAATACCCAGAATTACTGAACCAGCCATGCTGACTCAGGAATTCCGGGAGTTGAAGTCCACCAGTCATAAAACAGCCAAGGTTCCCTACCCTTGTCCTATGCCATTTCAGACAAATGGCTGTCCAGTCTCTTCTTAAAAACTTCCAGTGTGGGAGCATTCACCGCTTCTGGAGGCAGGCGGTTCCACTGGTTAATTGTCCCCACTGTCAGTAAATTTCTCCTTAGTTTCATGTTGCTTCTCTCCTTGATTAGTTTCCATCCATCCATTTCTTGTCCTGCCTTCAGGTGCTTTGGAGAACAGGTGGGACCCCCTCTTCTTTGTGGCAGCCCCTTAAATATTGGAACATTGCTATCGTGTCACCCCTAAGCAGTGGTAAAACTACAGAGGCCACAAAACTGGATGTGGGCAGATGGGCTGACAGCTGTTTCTCTAAAACGATGACAATATGGAGCTGACTTAATGGAAAGACATGTTTGTCCAAAATTCTTGTCTGCTTCAAACTCTTCTCTTGAAATCAAAGCTCTTTTAAAAAGATTCTATTCTATTCTATTCTGTTCTATTCTATTCTCCAATATCTATTCTGTATCTATTCTATATTCCAATATCTATTCTATTCTATTCTATTCTATTCTATTCTATTCTATTCTATTCTATATTCCAATATCTATTCTATATCTATTCTATATTCCAATATCTATTCTATTCTATTCTATATTCCAATATCTATTCTATATCTATTCTATATTCCAATATCTATTCTATTCTATATCTATTCTATATTCCAATACCTATTCTATTCTATTCTATTCTATTCTATTCTATTCTATTCTATATTCCAATATCTATTCTATATTCCAATATCTATTCTATTCTATTCTATATTCCAATATCTATTCTATATCTATTTTATATTCCAATATCTATTCTATTCTATTCTATTCTATTCTATTCTATTCTATTCTATTCTATTCTATTCTATATTCCAATATCCTATCCTATCCTATCCTATTATTCTATTCTATTCTATTCTATTCTATTCTATTCTATTCTATTCTATTCTATTCTATTCTATTCTATATTCCAGTATCTATTCTATTCTATTCTATTCTATTCTATTCTATTCTATTCTATTCTATTCTATTCTATTTTATTCTATTATTCTATTCCATTCCATTCCATTCTATTCTATTCTATTCTACTACATAATAAATGTACATCATAAGATCTGAAGTGCTTCGGAATAATTTCATAGCCCTCTTGACTAGTAGATTTGGAGCGTTATGTTGGCCAGATCTGTCACAATAAAAGATAACACTTGCTTTGATCCTCTCCGTCCACAGCAACTCCTTCAAATGTTTGCTTTGTTTGGTAGGAATTTTTAAATGGTAAGGAACATCTGGATAATCTAATCAGCAGCTTGTTGGAGACTTCACAGATGAAACTGCTGGCTGAGCAGCTGGAAAACAATTTGAAATCTCTGTCAGCGGGCTCCTGACGATGAATGAACTGAAAAAAAAAAGGCCTTTTATTCTGTATTTGTAAAATTAAAGAGAACCATGTAAGAAACACCGATCCCTTTGTTTAATTTCTGATTTCACAATCATTTTCCAAAGGAATAATCTACATTTTTCTCCCCCCGCTGTCTACAAAATGTGTACAGAACTTCACAAAGCAGCAAATTCATTAGTGTCTAGTGTTCTGACTGGTTTACGAGAGTGGGAGGAGAGAGCACAAATAGATTTAACAGCAAATTAAATAAGAACCAAATCGATAAGCTTTTGAAGACTGCCGATGAATGGAACTCACACGGGGACTCCAACCTGTAACTGAAAGCTCACCAAGTCGATGCCCTCATGAAATTTATACCATTGATTATTGTTGCAAAAAGTTTGGTTCACTCGCAATTAAAAAAAAAAAAAACATCAACCAATATTATTTGAAGCTATATTCCAATCTATATTCTCTACAATAAATGCACAAAGCAAAGTAAGGGAAACAGGTATATTCAAAACAGCTGTAAAAACAATTCCAGCAGCCCTATTGTTTTTACAGCTACATACCCCACCCAAACTCTTAAGACAGGATATAATAGGATTAACCCACAGATGCCAAAGGGACACAGGTCAGAATACACAACACAGGAAATACAAAGCCTCAAACAGGAACAGGAAACAACTCCAAACAAAGGCTCAAGAAGGTATAAAACCCCACTCCCTACATGTGCTCGTTCTCTTTTCTTCCAGATCCATCTTTCTGTCTGGCTCTCCTCTTCAATAAACTGCAACCTTCTTTCTAAAGCAGTCTCCATTTTGTTTATGCCCGGCTTGGACTGAACCATGATGAAAACTTTTCTTCAGCAAAGGTCATACTAAAAGTGCAGAAGTTCACTCTGTGAATATAAGGAATAGGGGATGGATAAAAATGGGAGTAAGTAGAGAGGAAGAAAAAACAAACACCGATTTGCTTCTGAAAACTGGATGGCTCTAGTTCAGTGGTTCTCAACCTTTTTAATGCCGCGACCCCCAACCGGTCGTAAATCGAGGACTACTCAACCGGTCGTAAGTCGAGGACTACTCAACTGGTGCAGCACAGTTTGCAGAATGGGACTTTTGGCCGGCTCAGCAGGGCAGAGACAGCCTGGACCATTCCTACTGGCTTTTGAAAGCCAATAGAATTAGACTCTATGCAAGAGAGTCTATTCTATTGGCTTTCGAAAGCCAATAGAATAAAAGGGAGTAGCACAGCTAAGGAAAAGGGGGAAAAAAAATGGCGGACTGCGTTGTTTGGCGACCCCCGTGAAATGGTTGTTCGACCCCAAATGGGGTCCCGACCCACAGGTTGAGAACCACTGCTCTAGTTGGTTTTAAGTAGAGATCGTACTAGACTTGTTAACAGTTGATTTAGTGACTCTTCGAAGTCACAACGGTCACTGAAAAAAGTGACTTCTTATGACCATTTTTCACACTTATGACTGTTGCAGTCACTCCACGGGTCACCTGTTCAAAATTCAGACGCTTGGCAACTGACATGTACTTATAACGGTTGCAGCGTCCCGGAGTCACTGATGGACATTCGGAGGTTGGACAGCTGGTTCATATTTACAACGGTCACAGCTTCCTGGAGTCACGTGATCCCCTTTTTGCGTGCTTCTGACAAGCAAAATCCAGGGGGAAGCATGACCAATTTAACAACTGCAGTGATTCCCTTAACAAACGGGGCAAGAAAAGTCGCAAAATGGGGCAAAACTCGCTTCACAGGTTTCTCACCTAGGAAATGTCCCACTTAGCAACATAAATTCTGCGTTCAGTTGTCAGTAAATCGAGGACTACCTGTGGAGAGACAGGGTGCAGCTTTTTACCTGGAATTCACGTGTTGCCGTGGCAGATTTTGCTAAAAATGCAGGTAAAAAAAAAAGTCTCAACGATGCAGAGGGTACACAAAGCCAAAAATGCAGTGGAATTGTACACAAACACACACACACTCCCAAGTTTTAAATTTTAAATTCCATTTCTGGGTGCTTTTATTAAAATCCACCAGGTACAATTTGCATTCCATCTGTTGCATTAAATCTATCAGGAAACCTACAGCTTCTCCCAACTGCAATTCATAGGATTTTATTTTAAATTACGTTGCTGGTTTTTTGTTTTTTTGTTTTAAATTCAGATCTCCTGGATTCAAACTTTAAAAATTGAAAAAAAAAATAAAATAAAAATCAAACAGCAGTTGATCATACAGAAGGGTCCCGACTGACGTATAAAACGGACTTCTTGTTCTTGTGGGAGTATATCCTATTCTTAACTTTTTTAAAGAGTTCTGTTGAGCTCAGCTTGGCTCTTGAGTTGAGGATTTGGGGAGGTGGCTGGTTTACCGTTGAGTAAGCTGGTTAATTTTCTTGAGCTGCTCTTTGTTGTTCGTCGTCTTATACACAGTGATGAGAAAGGGGAACGCCGAGGGCAGCTCCACCTTATCGCTCAGCTTCTGATGGCCCCAGTGGAGACAACGAAGCCTATCGGCCAAGTCTTGTCTGCCCGATTTTTCCAAAGCCTCTTGAAGCAGCTTTGTCCTGTTCAGTTTGTTGCACGACCGTTCATACCTGGAGAGAATGGCCAACGGAGAGAGTCAGAATCATTGCAGAAGGAAGCAGATGCCCCGTCATTCAACGGTCTCTGTATTTAGTTTGAAGAGTTCATTCTTCTCCAGTCTTTGTACCTTTTGCTGTTCAAGTAATCCTCTCATAGTTCTAAGAGAATATTTGCAGCTCAGGGTTTAAGCTGTTCTTCTGTTCTTCTCTTCTTTCATTCCGCATTCTATTCTGTTTTATTCTGCTCTATATTCTCCATTCCCTTCCCTTCCCTTCCCTTCCCTTCTCTTCCCTTCCATTCCATTCCCATTCCATTCCATTCTATTCTATTCTATTCTATATTCTCCATTCCATTCTCTATTCTATTCTATTCCATTCCATTCCATTCTTCTATTCTATTCTATTCTATTCTATTCTATTCTGTTCTGTTCTGTTCTGTTCTTGTTCTTATTCCATTCCATTCCATTCCATTCCATTCCATTCTATATTCTCCCTTCTATTCTATTCCTTTTCTATTCTATTCTATTCTATTCTATTCTATTCTATTCTATTCTATTCTTCATTTATTCTATTCTATTCTTCAATTATTCATCCATGCATCCATCCATGCATCCACCCACCCACCTACCCACCAACCTCGGATCATGATAATTCTTGATGAATTTGAAGATAATAAGTCTAGATCTCGAGAGCTTATGTCAATGCCAAAGACTTTGGATTTGTTCTATACTTTGTCAGGATTATCCTACCAGTGTTCCAGCATCTTTTGGGCTTGACTCCTCTTCTCCGGGGTGAGGGCATGGATATGGCTAATTTCAGCACGTGTGAATCCCAGTTCATAGGCCACCATGGGCCACTCGAAGCTCAGTTGCTTGCCAAGATCTCTGAGGGACTGGAGATTGATGACAGCATCCTGGTACATGAGAAGACAGTGGTAGGACATGATCCAGCATTTGATGCAGTCAACAGTGGACTGTCAAAATCAGGGTTGCACTGTCTTTATTTCCCAAAGTCCAATCCTTTAGAGGCTGGAATGACACATTTAGGCTTTTTCTAAGGTGGAGTTTCATCCTGGCCAAATAAAGGATAGAGCCAAGGGGAAAATTCATCTATAAAGCAGGTTCTCCTTTGACTTTCTCTTATGTCTCTACTCATTCAAGCCAATCTGCAACTTTTACAGATTAACCCACCATAGAGTCTACCAAGCTTCACTTTTAGCAAACAACCCTACAAATATGTAATTTTTCCAGATAAGCCTGTCATCAAAGCAGCGGTATGAAGAATCAAAACCACTCCTGACTTTTTACATTCTAATCCATGTTTTTCAAACTGGGGGACTTTAAGGAGGACTTCAATTCCCAGGATTCTCTAGCCACCATGCTGGCTGGGGAATTCTGGGAGTGGAAATCCACACATCTTAAAGTTGCCGAGTTTGAAAAACACGGATTTAGATGAATTGCTTTCTGTTTTCATTACCTCATTTAAAAAAAAATGTATCCAGAATTTACAGTAGATGTAAAACTAAAAAAAAAAACTGCTGCAGGTTGCATCAAAGTATTTGTGCAATCCTCAGCTCATTAACACTGACATTTAAATTTTAATTAGCATAGATTCTCCCTCCGTTTTCCTTCCCTTTCCTTCTTTCCATTTCAATCATTTCAATGATTTCAATCATTCTTTCCTTCCTTCTTCCTTCCTTCCTTCCTTCCTTCCTTCCTTCCTTCCTTCCTTCCTTCCTTCCTTCCTTCCTTCCTTCCTTCCTTCCTTCTCGATCCTTCCTTCCTTCCTTTCCTTCCATGTCCTCCCTCCCTCCCTTAATGGCCTAAGGATTAGAGCAGGGCTAGGCAACCTTGGCTCTTTTATGACTTGTGGACTTCAACTCCCAGAATTCCTGAGCCAGCATGGGGGAACTATGGCCCTTTCATGACTCGTGGACTTCAACTCCCAGAATTCCTGAGCCAGCATGGGGGAACTATGGCTCCCTTTATGACTCGTGGACTTCAACTCCCAGAATTCATCAGCCAGCATGGCTCAGCTTGGAAACCTCTCCCTCTCCCCTCAGTGTGGCTGGCTCAGGAATTCTGGGAGTTGAAGTCCACGAATCATAAAAGAACCAAGGTTGCCTACCCCTGGATTAGAGTGTTGATAATCTTTAATCAACACTGAATAAACACCATGTATATCAACAATAAAATGCTAATAAAATGCTAATAATAACAATAACAATAATATTCTAAGAAATGTGGGGTTTTTTTTACTGTTAGTTATAAGGAGCAGGGGCACTATTTTAAAAACCCACATTTCTTAATATTTCTTAGTATTTTCTGAAGGGATTAATGAAAAATCTGGAGTGAAAGATCTGGAAAATTTACACGGATGCAAAACTCATGTGATTTTGATGGCACCACCCTACCGTTTGCCAGCAAACAGAGTCAGCTGGAAACTTAGGCATCCGCTGGTCTCATACGTACTTAAAATAATTTAGACGTGTTAGATCCAAAAAGGATTCTGACAAAATAAAATATCTTTGTCTTACCTCTTGAGCTTTTTTTGCCATTCTGATTCAGGAACCAGAGGGTGCTTTGATTCAAGAGAAAAGCCAGCTAGAAATAAAGGATTTCTATTAAAATGTATGCCGTACCTCATACCAATGTCATTATTTTTTTTATCAGCGATCAATAGGGGTCTGGTAGCAATATTTTCAGACAAATCCATTTTCTTACAAGGTGCGAAAGTGCCTGACGTTTAATCAAATTGGTTAGGCTAATAAGAAGCCTTGGTTCCCTGATATTTAGATCCCATACAGAAACTTCACTTTTCTTTGTCTGCAATGAGAAATACACTTTTTTCCCCCGAACAGTAACATCCTAATTACCTTTGGTGTCAAAGGTAAAGAATATGATCCTATTTTAATAACCCTTTCATTAAAAAGAGCAATTTAAATTTAAATTGCTTTATCGATGCAATTTAAATACTGGCTTTATCGATGAAAAACAGTACAAGGGAAGGAATCTTAGTTTATCGTTTTATTGCAGCGCTCTCCATTTTAAACATATTTAAAGGCGGTCTATAAAATTCAAGATAATTCAGCCTAGTGGACCTTTTGGGCTGAATCCTGCCTTTCCTTCCTTTAAAAGATAGTTTGGAAGTTCTGAGGACCCAACTCCGCAAAATATTTCTAAAGGCAGTGTTCAATGTGAGCCCCGTCGCATCGTTAAAATGCCAAAGGAATAAAAGTTCTTTTTTTTCCATACAATATCACAAAAGTTTTTTTTCTTACTTACCTGTTTTTTTTTAATTCGACGGTTGCTTTTCTTCTTCTTCAATTTCATGTATTTCTCAGGTTGCTACTGCAAAAGTCAGAGCTTTGAATAGCATCTAGAGAAAACTGATTTACGTGGAGACAGTTATTGGAATATAGCCGTCTGTTGCATAGACACTCACCACAACAAAACTAATGTTAATTTTTAACGTGCTTTCAAGCTCTTTGTTACCCATGACTGAGTACATCTGAAAACTTTGCTGAACTCTAGACCACTTGTTGAATGGAAAAATTAACATATGTTGATGGGGAAAAAAATAATAAAAAAGATTGATAAAAAAAAGAGGAAGAAAAGAAGAAAAAGGAAGAAAGCAAAGAGGAAGGCAAAGAAGCAAGAAAAGAGAAAAGACAAAAGAAAAAAAAATAATAAAGACAATGTATAAAGGAAAAAAAAAATGAAAACTTTGCTGGCAATGGTTATATACTACTCCATTTTGTTCCAGTTAAGGGCCTATGTTTCGAAGAAGGCCCAATGCATCCTTGAAAATGGTCACCCAGTTTTAGGTAGAAAGAGTGTAAACAAGGCAACTTTCCATCCTATTACTGTGTTAGTGGAAGGGTTAAACTAGGGATGACCCCTTACTGTTTTCAACTCACAATCCCGGCAATGATATTGATTTAAAAAGCCCAGTTTATTGCGATTCTAAACTTTTTCTACTGCTGTTACCAATATTCAAAAAAGGACACCAGCTCTCATATTTTCAAATATTTCGTATTTTCAAGCATGAAAGTTTGGGGTGGAAAAACCAAAGTTTGGCTGGGAATATAATTTGGGGGGGGGTTAAGTATTTTAATTGCAGTAATAATCTCATTGTATGAGTGCTAAGGTGGCAGAGTGTCACCTCGTTTGACCTCAGCTGGGAACATTGCAGTTCAATCTACCAGAACAGAGCTGGATGGGACCTTGGAGGTCATCTAGTCCAACCCCCTGCTCAGGCAGGCAACCCTGTACTATTTCAGACGAGTGGCCGTCTAATCTCTTCTTAAAAACTTCCAGCGTTGGAGCATTCACAACTCCTGGAGGCAATTTTACTGATTGTTCTCACTGTCAGGAAATTCCTCCTTAATTCCAGCTTGCTTCTCTCCTTGATTAGTTTCCATCTGTTGTTTCTTGTCTTCCCTTCTGGAGCTTTGGAAAATAAATTGACCCCCTCCTCTTTGTGGCAGCCCCTCAATGAGGGTGGGTGACTTGATTTTTTTCGCTGTTCTGTGCTTATCTGCAAATGGCCATGGAGGTGAAATTCACAAATAACGGAATCTGAGAATAAGGAGGATCAGCCATACGACTAACACTACAGTTTTAGAACGACACTGCCATTGTAGAAAAAGCAGGCAGACCCTGGGGGGTGGAGTCAAGCGGGGACTCAGCCTAAAATCATTACATGTCCACAAATGCTCCAAGTTCAACTCTTCTTGAATTCTATTAACTCCTATTTAGCATCAAAGCTAGATGTGATCCTGATTTTTCATGCCTCATGAAAATACGTCATGATATTTTACATTTATTTTTCCTGTAACCCAGCATCCACTAAAACTTATAGAGAAATATGTCGTTAAGTAATTACTGCATTTATTTTTCTGGGGAGGGGGAAAAAAAAGACTCACAGCAATTTACTGATTGGTAAGATATACCGAACTCCTTTGATCCGGTATTTTAAAAAAATATTATATTTACATGACCTCACAAACAGGGGGGGGGAGGAAATCCAGCAAACTGAAATAACTTGGCTGTAAAAAAAAAAAAAGAAATATTCTGTACATTTTACACTCGCTGAGCGCTAAAAAAATTACGCTTTTACAGTCACGTCTCGTAAAAAAATCGTTTAAAACACTTCGTGGTTGTTTTTTCCCCCCGCGTCCTCGACGTGCTTTTTTTTTTTGAACAATGCGGCCGCGCTGTTAGTGATCGCTGAGTCTCTGTCGAATGTTTCGAGGTTTTCCGTTTTCAAATTTCCGCTTTTTGAAGACTGGCGTCTCTTCCGCTGCCTCGCCCAGTGACGTGACGGTTTTTTCTTCAAAGATCATTTTGGCCTCTTCCGCTACTTCTAAAACCGGAACGCTCTCCGTGCTAGGAAGTTCCAGGTCGACGTTCTCGCTAAAGGAAATGAGAAGTTTGTTGAACAAAAACGTATTTAAAAAATAAAATAAAACGGGCTCGTTTTGGTGGCCAATTTAGGCCCGAAGCCCCCTCGCCGTAGATAAACATCGTTTAACTCAGGGTATCTTTTTCCTGAAAACGGCAAGCCGAAACCACGTTGTGGCCGGCAAAGTTTCACCCAATTTATAACCTGCAGGTAGAGAAGTGACATAGCTCTAGCTATTAATAATGGCAGATATAAGGGAGGAGGGGGTATATTTTTTGGCAAACATTTATTATCGAATTTAGAGACCGCCCGTCTCACGCTCACAAGCCACTTCGCCTGCTGTACAAAAAGTTATCCTGTGCAATAAAAAGCTCTTATCTTCTCACGTAGGAAGATTCTCACTGAGCTACACGAACAAAACCTGCCTCTATCTACCAGTGCTCATGAAACAGGGTCCCTCTCATTCTGCTGAGCCTCTTCTTTAAAATCGAAAATTTATCTCCAAGTATGACACACAGGCAAAATGTGTAGGTTAAAAAAAAAAGTCAGTGAAAAGAACCAAACTTACTTAAAAGAATAAAATAAAATAAAATGGTAATTTGCTTTGAACATTTGGGTTTAAAGTGAAATTGAGTCCAGATGGATGTCAAATCTTTTGAAGAGTAAATTACTCTGAAGTGTAGATTTGAAGTATGTTTGTGAATGATCTGCTTCCTCAAATTAAATGCCTTACGTCCCAGAATTTTCAAACATGTTTTACTTTAATCCCTCACTAGTTTATATGCCTGTGTTTATAAGCTAGATGTCTATCTGTCTCCTATTCTATTCTATTCTATTCTATTCTATTCCATTCCATTCCATTCCATTCCATATATTCTATTCTATTCTGTTCTGTTCTATTTATTCCATTCCATTTTCTATATTTCTATTCTATTTTCTAGATTTCTATTCTGTTTCTAGATTTCTATTCTGTTTTCTATACCTCTATATTCCTTCTATCCCATTCCATCTTCTAGATTTCTATTCTATTTTCTAGATTTCTATACTATTCCATTTTCTAGATTTCTGTTCCATTTCCTAGATTTCTTCTATTCTATTCCATTTTCTATATTTCCGCACTATTTTCTATTCTATTTTCTAGATTTCTATTCTATTTTCTAGATTTCTATTCTATTTTCTAGATTTCTATTCTATTTTCTACATTTCTATATTTCTTCTATTCCATTCCATTCCATTCTATCCTACTCCTCTCCTCCATTCCCCCTCTTTCTAAACCACCCATCTCCCTTACTGCCATAACTGCTTAGCCAGGCCAGTATTGTAAATAAAGACGTGACACCAATGCACGGTGTCCTGTATATACCTACGAAGCAAGTTCCTTACAGAGAGAATTGCATATTCAGCCATATCAGTTCCTATCCCTATGAACCATGAACCAGAGAAATACAATGCAGTGCAGTTTGGACACTGGGTTATCGGTGTCCCTTCTGCCCAAATCCAGCTGTCACTGGCCAAGCATTTCCAGGTAAGATAAGCAGGACTCACTCTGGATTGTCCTCGGTGATCTTCTCCCATTTGCCCAAAGGTGTGGACTTCTGAGACGACTGCGCCGGACTCTTCTCACGGCCCACCTTGTCTTCTCTGACCTGCTGCCATTCTCCGTAAGGGCCAACCTTTTGGGGCTTGTGAGCCTTTGCTCCATCACTGCCTGTCTTCCTCTGAGAAACAAGGAAAAGAACATCCTTTTAGGCAGTGATGTTGTTAACAAGAACATGACTTTCTTTGGAAAAAAGAAAGGAGTCCGAAGGTAAGCTATTTGGATTTTTATACTCAGTGAGTATACAATCTTGGAGGTAAAAAAAAAAAAACTAATCATTTTTTCAACCACTACCTTGAGTTTACTCAAGCTTCTCTCCCTATTTTTACGGATACCACGTGGGCTATTTTGTCAGTAACGGCGTGTTGCTATACAAATGATAACTACAGTATATAGGCTATAACTTGTCCTTGGTGTCTTTGTGTCTATAGCTACAATGTAATGATAGATAAATCTCCCTTTGGGAAAATGCAAGTGTAGAATAGAATAGAATAGAATAGAATAGAATAGAATAGAATAGAATAGAATAGAATAGAATAGAATAGAATAGAATAGAATAGAATAGAATAATGGAATGGAATGGTATGGTATGGTATGGTATAATGGAATGGAATAGAATAATAAAATAGAATAGAATAATAAAGGGACCTTAGAGGTCATCTAGTCCAACCCCCTGCTCAGGCAGGAAACCCTATACCATTTCAGACAAATGGCTGTCCAGTCTCTTCTTTAAAACTTGCAGTGTTGGAGCATTCAACATAGAATGGAATGGAATGGAATAGAATAGAATAATGGAATGGAATGGTATGGTATAATGGAATGGAATAGAATAGAATAGAATAATGGAATGGAATAGAATAGAATAGAAGCTGGAAGGGACCTTGGAGGTCTTCTAGTCCAGCCCCCTGCTCAAGCAGGAGAACCTATACCATCTCAGACAAGTGACTGTCTCTTCTTAAAATCCTCCAGTGATGGAGTGCCCACAATGTCTGAAGGCAGGCCATTCTACTGTCTTGTTGCAATAGTCTACTACATGCTTGTTGCAAGAGTCTACCAAATGCTTGTTGTAAGAGTCTACTTAATTGCCCAGCATGTGGACAGATTTAAGCCTAATTTCAATTGGAGCATCTTAGACCAAGCTAAGTCCAAAAATGCTGGAGAATTCCTGGAAGCTTGACACATCAGACAAAACAGTTATCAACAGGCACACCAAGAACATATACATACCATTCAAAAGAGACAACCAACATGCCCAAAAGGAAAAACACCCAAACACTTCCTCGCTAGCAATCAACACCCAGATAAATAGGGATTAACAGCAAGATTCATTCTAGACCCAGCATCAAGCAATAAATGATAGCCCAATCAAGGAACCTGGGAAACATTAATAGGTGGCCAATCTAAGAAAAATAGAAAAACAAGGAGAGAAGCAACCTGGAACTAAGGAGAAACTTCCTGACAGTTAGAACAATTAACCAGTGGAACAACCTGCCTCCAGAAGCGGTGAATGCTCCAACACTGGAAGTTTTTAAGAAGAGACTGGACAGCCATTGGTCCGAAATGGTGTAGGGTTCTCTGCCTGAGCAGGGGGTTGGGCTAGATGATCTCCAAGGTCCTTTCTAACTTTATTATTATTATTATTATTAAATATTACCTTTTGTGATTCATTTTTGCTGTTCTCATCAGAGGAGTTTTCGTCTGGATTATTCTTTATTGAACAAGATACGAAAGCTGCAGGCTTCTCCCATGTTGATACTAGACAATATATTAAAAAAACAAAACCTTGTCTTATGTGACCAGTCTGGAAATGAATCTTCTGAAAAGCAGATTCGTTAGAAACAGAATCCCACACATAAAGGCCGTAACATATATTTCAACGGGGCCAAATTAATAAGATTAAGCAAACGTTTCTTTCGCGCTTCGCTAACCTAAGAGGTACTCTTAGATCCCTGTTAAAACTGCTGGACCCCATCAGGAATCAAGGCTGGACCTCTGTAGCTTATTTTCTGTTATTTCACACTCTGTCTTTTAAAAACAGAGCCTCAGTGTATACAGTAAATAATGCAATAAATGTGGAATAGCAGTGTTTAAGAGTAAGGAGCAGCGTCGTCATGCCACATACAAGGATTGAAGGCTGCATGTTTGAGAGACTGGAAAAACTGAACAAATAGTTTATTAAAGGAGAGGAGAGGAGAGGAAAGGGAGATAGAAAAAAGGAAAGGAAAGAAAAAGGAAGGAAGGAAAGGGAAATAGAAAAAAGGAAAGGAAAGGAAAGAAAAAGAAGGGAGATAGAAAAAAGGAAAGAAAAGGAAACGGAAGGGAAGGGAGAGGA